CAGGAATGCATAGGGGATATCTTGACTAGAGCAAAGGACTGGGTTATTAAAATAATGAAATGGTTATTAGATTTTCCCCCCCTCCATCTTGGCATTCAAAGTACCAAGACAGCTCCCCTCAGGTACCAACCAGGCCAGTATTTGTTTATTTGCTTCATTTATAAACACACCTTTCTCCCCAGTTGGGACCCAAAGCAGCCTACATTAATCTCCCCTCTCCGTCATTTTATCTTCACAAGAATTCTATGAGGTATGTAAAGGCTGACAGTGTTTGACTGGCCCAAGATCACCCAGCAAGTTTCCATGGTGTAAGTGGGGATTCAAACCTGGGTCTTCCGGTAGCTTCCATAAGAATGTAAGTACCTTCAAGAGGACTAGGAGAACTAATGCAGTTAAAATTTTCTGACCAAATGCAGACTGATCAGCATGATAAAACTGTTGAAATTCTGCTATGGCTTCCTACTACGGGACATCTCATAATACCACGTTATTCCCATACTATGACCAATGCAATACACCACATGAATTGCTTGTCCCCATAGCCATGCTGAAATATTTATGCATATGACTAAGAACTTAATGGATGGAAACAATGAATTAACATGGATTATTGTAAGCACTGTCTTTGGACAAGCAAAATCATTTCAAGGATTGTGCATTATTTCCTCATATAAGGCAATTGCTTAATGAACTTGAGGGATGGTGTACTCCAGTTGCTTGGGGTGATAACCAAGGAAATACTTTGGTAGCTGGTGAAGGAATAGGTATTTTTGTAATACTTGCAGGGCAGAGCTAAGGAAGGTCCAAGACTATGCTGCTGGTTTTATGGGACTGACACTGCTTTGGTACCTACCTGTTCCCACAAGTTCAGTGTGTATATTTCTAAGTAAACAGCCATTTTAAAAAACACCATACATTTTTAGTATCCTTGCAAGAAATCTGACCATGTGACAGATTAACTTTGGATCATGTTACAGCTTGAAGGAGTAAGGAGCAAGGAGCATGGAAGAAATCACCATATATGCCAGCCCTATCATCTGTATGGGAAAGGAGAACCCAGGGGCCTTAAAACAAATACATCAAGCAACAAAAATACTCTTATTTCACTGGAATCCAGTTTTTCATCTTTGTACGTGGCTAAATTTATGTAGACAGCAACTTTAAAAATAAGACTGTCACAAATCAGAAAAAGTGCCTCTCCAAGAACAGAATTTCACAATTCACACTCAATAGTAGTGAAAAGGCCTTTATTATGTCCAATTAAAAATCACAAAGTAGCAAGCAAGATTTTGAGCTCCCCGGAGCTGTTTCTCAGGCTACTCAATTTTTTAAAAGAAGACTACAGGTTTCATATTATGACCTGAAAGATCTCCCCGCTCCCGTTTTAAAAACTGAACATCCAACTTGAAAAAGAGCTTTGGGGACCTTGAAACCTGGCTCCTTGATTTACATTTTAATCAATCCTAAAATATTACACTGCTGCTGTTTCTGGATTTAATTCTTCTAATGGATCAGCCCAGCCCTCACTTCCTTCCACACCGACATTAAGGGTTAAACCCTTGAAAGTTAAACTTGTGTTCTCTGTCAAGGCTACAAAGGGTTATTTAATTTAAATTGGAAGAAAACAGCTGCCAAGAATTTGGGACAGGGTGTCTTTCCCTCCTCCCAGCCAATCCTTTTGTTTTACTCTTTACCTCCCCCACTGCCACTACTAGGACCCTGTTCTTTGAGGGGTGGGATTTCAAGTCTGGGACGCCTCAGGCTCACCTCTCTCTAGGGGTCACCCCCCCCCCCCAATATATATCCACACACACGCTGCCAGCCACCGCGGCCTTCACCGGAGCGCCCCCTGGTCAGCCCACCGGCTGCCCCACCCAGTTCTGTCGCCTGAGGCTACGCGCCAAAGAGTGACTAAACCCCCGCGAGTTAGCCCCGAGCCCTTTCCACACACCTCAAACACCACTTCGTCGTCAAACTCGGGTGTCATCCTTCTCCGCCATCCGTGCCACTCTCTTCAGGCACTCTGGGAAACCGAGTCTGCCGAGCCCCCGCGCTACAATCCCTCCGTCCGGCCTAACCGCTAACACATGAAAACTACTACTCCCAGAAGCCTCCGCGCGAAAGGAGGCGGGGCAAGTAAACCGGGGTGGGCCGTTCAATGCAGATTGGAGGTTCGTCGCGGAGGGGGAGGGGAGTCGGCAGCCCCGAGTGTCTTTCTTTTGGTCGATGCTTGAGGCTGTCGGCCTGTAGGGGGCTCCGTGGCGCAGCAGTGGCTGGATTCGCTGGGTTTTGCCTAACGCTCCCGCCTGTTGAGGCTCGCTCAGGCAGTCGGTCGCGCTCTGAGCTACGGGAATGTTACATAGGAGCCAAAGGCGCAAGCTGCGCTTTTCGGCCGCTACCGGGGCATTTGTCTTCTCGGCCGCCAACCTGAGAGAAGCCTCCATGTCTTAACAGGAAGAAAAGGCGCATGGGAGGGGAGGTAACATGAATTCAGCCGGTGAGTGACCAAGGGAAGTTGCTGGGATCTTTCCTTTCCTGCCTTTCTGTAAATGCTGCTGGTTTAAGGTGTAGCAGGAGGACAGGGGCAGTTCAGCCTCAGCCGGCTGAATACACAATAGAAGGAAGTGGCTTCTTTTCCTTCCCTCTCTAACTTATTTTTTTCTTTTTCTTTAAAGCCCCGAGGACCAAGTTTGGTCTGGGGGTCTTCCTTCCTCCGCTCGCCCTGCTCAGAGCTCTTCGTCTCTTGCTGATCCTGCTCTTGTGTAAACTTTTCTCCCCGTTTCCCAAGCGCATAGGTGGGTGAATCTAATTTCTGGAAGCGAACAAGCGTCTCCAGGTCTTTTTGAGAACCCCGAAGTCCCTTTTCCGTCTCGCCCCCAAGTGTCTTGTCCTCAGCGACGGCATTTTTGAGAGCTCCCCCCCCTAGAGGGTGAAACGAAGAGTTCTTGCCGTGCGTGTGCGCTTCTGCGGGCAGCGGAGCTATTTTTTTGGATAAGGTAGTAAACAAAGCCCCCGGTTTCCTGCCTGATCTGGATGGAGTTAGAACCCACTCCTGCACGGCTTCTGCTAAGAAGGGAGGAAAAGCCCCCCCTCCTTCCTTTTTTTTTTTATTAAACAGCAGTGGCGTGGGCGTTCGATAGGATGATACCTGTAAAGTGATGGTGAACTCAACTAAGGACCTTTTTTGTTTCTCGGGGCAAGAAGTGTACTGATTTTTATTTTTTTTGGTTACTTGCAGATTTATGTTCTGCTTCTAGTAATTCATATTGCTATAAACTTCATTTGTTTTATAAAGCACAGAAAACTAGAGGCTCATAAATAGGTAAGGCAGCTATTTTTATTGGATTCACCATTGCTGTTGAGAGAATATGCAGCAAACTTTTGATTTAACCAGAATGCGTTATAAAAGCAGGAGACTAATAAAATTCATTCCAGTATAAGCTTTTTGTGATTCAGTGGCTACTTCATGAGATGCTGCAAAGTGTATATCCATTAAATGGATGCTTAACAGAAAGGCAGGGGGGAGGGGGAGGATGTTACAAAGGGAATGGTTTAAAAGAGGATCCAGTAAAAAGGGTAATCACAGTGAGTAAAGTCACTCACTACCAACTGTTAAGTGAAGTAGGATGTAAAATACAATGCATCACGGTGCCAACTGTTCTGTGATAGAGAGCAGCTCTTGGTATTCTGTGGAAGGCTTTCTTTGGATTTAAATTGATTCAGTTTTAATATTTTGGAAATGTTCCTGGGAAAGTGGACTTTTGGTTTTTGTGCAAAATTGGCTGTGGCGAGTGATACAGAACTTTTCACGATAGAGGTTTTCTTGTTTGGGTTCCTAAACTTTTGGCATGCTTTTTGTTAAAGTTTGACACTAACTATCCTGTGGCAACTTTAAAAAAGAAGACATATATTATTTTAATTCCAGGGCCTAAATCAGGGACAACAAAATTAGCTTAGTTTCAGATTATAATATGTACTGTATGTGCTGTGTTTTTGAATAGTGCTGTTTGCCTCTGTCTGTGAAAACCCATTTTTTATTTGTTCAGTCAGTTATGAGGTTTACTTGTTAATATGTTTTTCTTTTGATACCTTCATTCTGAGCTATTTCTCATGGTCAAATTTGCATTACATTGTGCAGAATTGCAAGTAACTAAGTATCAATTTGGTGTTGTATATTAATGCTAAGTATTATTGGTAGATTAATGTTAATTCCTGGGATCTGTCTGTTTACTTTATTTGTAGTCTGGCTTTCTTACGGAGACTTGGGGCCATTTACAGCACACTTGACACTGGCTTGGCTATGAAGTAAACATGAAGCTGAACCTAAAACATGGCTATGAGGAAGGAGGCAGGCTTAGTTCTGAGTTACATTCTGTGATGTACAGCAGGTATATACAGTGTAGACTTTATTGCTGGAAATGTCTGAAACAGTCTGAAGAATTTCTTTACATGCTAAAAGGGTTGTTTGCTGCTGTTTCCACACCACCCTGCAGCATATATATCTTTTATCCAGATTTGGAGGGAGTGTTAATTTTGGTGGCATATTGTATAGATGAGTGAAAGAATTACACAGTCCAGGAACAATATGGGGAAAGGTTATGAAGCCAGAAACACAAATAACACTCCAGTTGACATAAAAAGCATACCTCTAAGGGAATTAGGGACATACAGCATCAGCAGTCTTTTTTACTGAGCCATGTTTTGTCCTTCGTATCACACATTCCCTCCCACCCTTCAGAGTGAGGTTATCTGTGCCCAGTGTTATCATGTGTGATGGTATTTAAAATAATCTGGTGACTTGGTTTTTGCAGGAATGAATCCTAAGTGGCTGGTCTTATCTGTTGTCCTTTTGGTGACACATAGTTTTACCATTGGACTGAGCTCTGGACTTTGTAAACTGCCATTTTTTGTAGCACACAGAGGAAGCCTGGATTTATTTTGTGGGAGCAGAACTGAAAAGGTTTAAGCTTGCTTTTGAGAATGGTCCCCTCTTGTGTAGAAAGTAGTCCTAAATATTTGTGCTTTAGTGTAAGTAAATACTTTATGGCTGCCTTTTGTTGCATTATGTACCCTTAACTACTATTTTGACTGTGATGTTTTCTTTTCCGAAAGTATACTCAGTCTTACTCAAGATGGCTTATCTGTTATTCAATAACAGAAGGCATAAAATATTTTATTTATTTATTTATTAGGCTTTTATACTGCCCCCCGCAGGGCGAGCTCAGGGCAGTGTACAGCAGTTTAAAACAAAGAACATATTAAAATACAATCTACGAATTTGCAGAAATTGTGTAATGTCATAAAATCTATATGGCACCACATTACACTAATTTCTAACCCCCATTAGCAGAGGGGGAAGAGTGAGAAGGCAAATTAGCGACACTGATTGCTGTTAAAACCATTGCTGCCCTCAGCCATATGCTTGGTGGAACATCTCTGCCTTGCGGGCCCTACAGAACTGTAACAAGTCCCGCAGGGCCCTGGTGTCATTTGGCAGAGAGTTCCACCAAGTCGGAGCCAGGGCCGAAAAAGACCTGGCTGTGGTTGAGGACAGCTGGATGCTCTTTGGGCCAGGGACTTCCGGCAGATTTTGTTCTCCTGAGCACAGCACTCTCTGGGGGACATACCAGGAGAGGTGGTCCTGCAGATATGTTGGTCCCTGTCCATTTATGGCATTAAAGGTCATGATCAGAACCTTGAGCCTGACCTGGTACTCAATCTGGAGCCAGTGCAGCTGGCATAGCACAGGTTAAATATGTGCTGTTGAGGGTGTCCCTGTAAGGACCCCTGCCGCTGCATTCTGGACCAGTTGTGTAACTTCCAGATCAGGGTAGCCCTGCATAGAGCGAGTTACAGTAGTCAATGACCATTGTGTGGATTACTTTGGCTGGTTAGGAAGAAACAGTTAGGGGGCCAGTTGCCTGATCTGGCATAGTTGGAAAAATGTCAGTCAGGCAACATTTGTTATCTGGGCCTCCATTGATAAGAATGTGTTCAGAAACACACCCATGCTCTTAAGTATCTGCGCTGGAGTTAAAGAACTTCTGTCTTTGCTGGATTCAGTCTCAACCGACTCTTCTTCAACCACCTCATCATAGCCTTCAAACCCTCGGCCAGTTTTCCTGGGGCGGTGCCATGAGGGGTTACCATAAGTCAGCTGTGACTTGATGGCAAACCCCTTCCCCCAAACCTTCCAAATCCTCGTTTGACACTCTAACCACCGTACCCCTCTGGCTGGCTGTTTTGCTCCTGCCTCATCTGCTACCCAGGAGCTGGAGTGGCTACTGTTCCTTCTCTCCTTGCTTCCCTAGTCATCTTTAAACACAGCACAGCAAGCTGTGCATGCCCAGTGAAAGTTCCTGAACTTTCACAAGAAGAATCTCTCAGGTGGGTGCATTATACTATGCTGTTTTTAAAGATGCCTGGGGAATGGAGGAGAGAATGAGTGCTAGCTCCTCTGGCAGAGGTAGAGAATGGCAGGCAGAGCTAGGGGTCAAGGGGCAGAAGTCTCCGATGGTATCCCTTCTTGAACCTCACTGTCATCAGTGTAGACAAAAAGTTGCACCATGTTTAACTCTAACATGGTAGAGGAGACATGGCAGTTGAAAGCTGGGCTTGGTTTGTGTCCCCGATAACTAACATCCATTCTCAGGCTGCCTTGTCTGCAGCAACTCAGGACTTAATGGCCATAGTGGCAGCCATAGAGCTGTCTCAGTTACCAATCAATACTCAATGCCAATGTATAAGGAGGGACATATGTTAGGTTTGGTGTTCTGTTCAGAAGAGATAAAGTTGACATTATCATCGCCAGACCACTGTTAAGGTGTGGAGGCCTAGAACCATTGCAAGGGTTGGTAGGTGCTCATTGAAACATTCCATCCTGTCAATATGATAGGTCCCGTTGATTTCCTGGCAGTCTGCGGGAGCTTGTTTCCACCTAACATGGCTAGTTGCCTTCTCAAAGCATTGATTGAGCAAACAACCCAGACAGTAGGGCTTGATTACTCCAGAATGCCCTACCACGCTGTCATCTCTGCAGCTTTTTATTCCATCAACCTTTATATTCTTCTGAACTGCCTAGCTAAGATGGGATTGGTGGCACTGCTGTGTACTGGCTCCTGTTTCTCCTTGTGCACCATTCCAGAAGAAGGTACTGGGAGACTGGTGCTCCGTTGGTTCATGGAAGGTTCTGCAAAGCCCCACATTGTCAATGTCAAATAGCAAAGGAAACATGAGACTGCTGTGATATATCTGGATATTTGGGATACAGTGTCACCAACAGAACTTCTTCTCCATCTAATTGTAGGTAAGTGATGGCAGCATTCAATTGGAGGTAGTGCGCAAACAAATGGATGTGGGGAAAACAAACTGGAATGGAACCTGACAAAATGAGTGTTCTGTTGGTTGGAGATAGAGCTGAACCATGATTTAAATTCACAGCCTGTTTTGAATAGGGATTTATTATTTATTTATTTATTAGATTTCTACCCCACCGTT